TCTTCCTCCTCCAACGCAACGTCCATCGCCTCTTCTTCAGCAGCCGCCAGGATCTGTTGATTATATATTTCCGAACACTGGCGGTACGTTCTTTCCCATGAGGCAAAGTCGGCACTGGGGAACAGTCGTTCCCAGGTCATGCGTTGGATTTGGGCGGAGTCTTCCACCATCTCCCGGACGAGCTCTTGTTTTTCTTGCTCGGCCTTGTCCGAGAGCTCTTGGGTAAGACTCTTCTCCTGGTTCACCAGGCGTTCTTTTACGTTAGCCAAAGATTTCTCCATGGCTTCGTAAGAGTGCATTTTCTGGCGAAGGGGTTTCAGCTCGGCTTTAAATTTGGTGACGGTCCCCTCCAGCTCGTCAACCTTCTTTTGGGCCGCCTCTAGCTGAGCCCGAACAGCGGCGGTCGCCTGCGCCTGATAATAAAGAAGATCAATGGTCAGTACTTCATTTTGGGCAATTTGAAACATTGCTTTATCACAGCTGGAGGCGGCCATAGCCTTTGCGGCCTTTACCTCTTTGTTTTTCCGATCAATCGGCTTGCGAAGGCTGTTGACTCGGAGCAGGGCCTAAGTACAAAGAAAAACAGGCGTCAGTTTCCAATCAAAAGGGTTAACAGGCGTCCTGGAACTTCAAAAGGGTATACCTCAGCTAGGATCCCCGAAATTCCATCGAGGTCAAGGGTGCCGGCACCCTTGACCGCCTCCCTGTCAGAGGGAGGAACTACTTTAACCATTGACTTGGCTACCTCAACCAAGTCAAGTCCCTGGGGGCCGGCTGCATTAAGCAGAAGGAAAAACAAGTTAGACCTAATCAAGAAGGAAGCAAGAGTGAGTTTTTACAAGCAAGTGTCCATACATCTAGGCGGCCCCGCCTGGGTTTTTGAAGAAGTGGCCGGCTGCTTCTCAGCCGCCACTGTTTTCCTGGAAGACCCAGGAGAGCTTGCAACAGTCGTTCTCCGGGCCTTGGGGTCCGGCTGTTGCGAGGAAGAAGCCCTTGGAGTTCCAGACTGAAAACAAAAAGAGTTAGTATATGCATAATACAACTTAAAGGGGAAGAGTTTTCAAAGCTTACCAAGGGTGCCTCCTTGCTGGGGGAGTCGGCGTACGACTGCTTCATTAGCGAAACCCGCAGCATGGCCGCCGCAGTCTTAGATGCTGTTATTTTACTCATGGCGTCGGCTGAAAGAAATAAACAGCAAAGTTAGTAAAAATCCCAAGTAAACAAGGTGTGAAAAAACAGTATTCGTCAGGCCGGCTACCTCTAGAGCACCGACTGCCGAGGCCACAGGCGGCCAAGAAGTACTCATCATAGAGCCACTTGAAGCTCGGGACGCAGTGTAGGGGTACCTGCTCTCGTACCCCTGAAGTAGAGTTCACCCTAGTCTCTACTTTGAAGAGTCCTTTGTCTAGGATCTCTCTTTTAGCCTTTGGGGGAACAGGCGGCATGCTGCGGCCGCCTGCAAGAAGAGGCGGATCCCTGTTCCACTTGTTAAAACGTTTGTTCAGCTCCGTGTCTGAACTCTCGATAATAAGGAAGGTGTTCCGCCAATCCTTCCATTTGTTTGCCTTACCTCTCGTCATGAGGTAACCCCTGTGGCTTGTTAGTTGATACCAGCCGGTACCTCCCGACTTAGGGGTCCGGCTGAGATAGTTCATGTGGGCGAAAGCCTCAAAACTTGGCTCCACCCCGTTCAGTTCGCACCCGGCCACATAGCCGAGTACGTTTACCCAAGAGTTGGGGGCTAACTGCCATAACCCCAGATCATACCCATCTAAAATCCGCTGAACAGCCGGATGTAATGGGAAGCGCAGACCAGCTTTGATGGCCGCCACATAGCAGCCAAAACAGCCGTCACCATAGCTGGTACCAGCCGGCCAGACGACAGTATCTTCTGGATCCGGCACAAACAGTAAATACTCCGGGCCCATTTTGTGGTTAGCAATAAAGCTCGCCACGTTGTCTCGCATGGTTGCGATCCGGCCCCGGGGCACCCTGCAGTAGTAGGGGGTGTTTTCCTCTCTGTAAGAGGCGGACGGCTCTGCCCAATTATCCCCCTTCTCCACTGCATGGGAACTTCTTGCCTCTTGTAGGCGGTTATGTTTTTCTTCTGAGTCAGAAGAACTATGGTCAGAAGAACTATGGTCAGAAGAGCTGGAATCGGACTCGTCCCCTGACGAGTCCGAAGAGGACGACGCCTCCCCTCTCCTAGAGGGGCCCGCCTCCTCTCCCTTAGAAGGAGCAGAAGGTAAATTGGACATGTCCACGGTTAGATGAGAAGGGAACACCTTGGTCCCTCTCTCAGAACTGTCAGCTTGACAGTCGCCTCGTTCCACATCTGGCGCCTGGTCAGATGTTTCGCTAAGGAGTACCCTTTGGGAGGAGCCGTCTGAGTTTGATATTCTAGCAGTCTTTTTTGTTCTGGCCATCACGTTCTGCATAGACACAGATTCAGTCGGACTTTGTATAAAGGGCAAAGATGGGTCCAGAAAAGGGCAGGCGGCACTCCTAGTCCTAGATTCAGCCGTCCCCGGTGACCGGCTGATCACTAACTTAGGGCGTGTCGTGTGCTTCCATGGTGCCATTTCAAAAAATAAAAAGAAAATTAAGAGTAAGAGAACTGAGTTACCTGAACGGATGACAGTTGATGAAGTCCTGAAAGTTCGGGTCAGTCGGCTTGTCAGAACAGGCGGTAGGCAGAAAAAGTCCGAAAATGTCAGAGCAAGTTCAGGGGTCCGAATGTTCTCGCAAAAATTCTCAAATGTGAAAATGACCGAAGTCAGCACTTCCTTTTATAGGCAAAATGAGAAGGCGAAGGGTCGCTTCCGAATTCAAATTTGGGCGGGAGAGTCTCCCGGCCGTCTGCAAGGTGACACCTGTAACGGGCCGTCGCCTGTCACCGTGCGACGCCTGTCACAGGCGACACGTGACCAGTCGCGTGCCACCTGTGAGGGGCAAATGATTAGGGGATTTTTATCCACCAAGCGCCGTTTGACAAGTGGACCAACCAGGTTCCGCCACGCGTCCTCCACGGACCACTTAAGACACGCCACGTGTCCACCCATGCCAAATGGGACAACCGGCCATCAAGGCCCATTTCAGTCTAGAAGCCCGATCGGCCCTAGGTTTACCTTAAACCTAGAGAGTTGCACGCTTCCCAAGGCTATAAATACTCGATTAATCCTCATTAATCAAGGGACCGAATAATTTACGGAACACACTAATAACCGGCTGATCTCGCTAGCAAAGCAGATTACCTACATTAAATACTCTCACCTAGAGAGACCTTATTACTTTAATTTCTGTATTAATTACTCCTTAATCAGGTACTAACTTGACCGTTGGAGGCGGAGCTCTCAGGAGTCTCCGTTATTTTGCAGGTACAGGCGTCCGGTTCCAGTCTCGGAATTGTAGCTCTCCCGCAGGACATCAGAAAACCCCGAAACAGTTATAATAATTAAATTTATATTATCTTTCATTAATTTATGTATAAAATATGACAAATTTAAATATAGAGGTTATACATATATATGAAGAGTTTTTTTTTTTTTTTTTTCAACAAAGATGAAGAGTTTATTATAGAGAATTAAAGTTAGACCAATAAAGAGTTTTTCAAATTAAAGTATATATTTCTATGATTTAATGTAGTGAGATAAGGGTGATACACATAGAATACACATGGCTAGAGCTGTCAGTTTCTGACCCGAACCGTTAAATCCGACAGTTTCGAACATATCCGAAAAGGAACTAAACTGTTTAAAACCCGTTTTTTGGAAACCAAAAACTGACCCGACCCAATTTTTTCCAAACCGAAACTGAACTAAACCGAATTTGTGCAAACCGTTACTAACCCGATCCGTTATCAAGCCAAACCGTTACAACCCGAAACTGAAAGCAACCCAAACCGATTACGTTTAAACCCGATAGTAACCCGACCCGTTTTAAACCGAAAACCGTTAAAAACCGATAAAAATCCGATAAACCTAAATCGTTCCAACCCGTAACCCGTTGTGACCGAACCGGTTATAATCCGTAACCCGTTGTGACCGAACCGTTTACGACCTGTAGCCCGTTATGACCAAACCGTTTAAAACCCGTAACCCGTTATGACTGAGTCATTTACAACCTGTTACCCAATATGTTTATGATCTAATCTGTTTCAACCCACTACTCGATAAACCCAACTTATTTATGACTTGACTTGATTATAACATGACTCGTTCCTACCCATTATCTGACTAATTCGACTCGATAATCATCCGACTCAATTTTAACCCGATATGATTTTGATTAGAAACCCGTTTCAAATTGGGTAAACTCGTTTTCAAACCAACCAAGTTCAATCTAAACCGATTATAACCGAAACAATAATGGTTGGACCCGATTTGAACCGAAACCCATTTTCGAACCGACCCAGTTAAACCCAAACTGATTATGACCCGAACCAATTACGACCCGTCCTGATTAAGACCCGAACTGTTTTTATCCGAAACCCACATTAAATGGGCTAAACCCGTTTTCAAACCGACCCAGTTTATCCCAAATTGATTATGACCCGAACCGACTAGAACCCGACCCGATAAGGATCCGATCCGAATAGAAACTGCAATTAAAAAACCAAACCGAACTGACCCGATAATTTTCAAAACCGATCCAAACCGACCCGCTTATTATTTCAATCCGTTATAAACCGACCCGTTATAACCCGAAACTGATAAACCCAATCCAAACCCAAACTGTTTAACCGAATTGACACCCCTACACATGGCAGCACAGCGTCACATGTATTACCGAGTAAGTAATAAAAGTGGCATATGTTAAATATGTTATGCTAGATATAGATAGATTTGGCTCACCAAACAAAAGCCTGGTTTTGTTTAATCCTTTGCCAAACATTTTGTTTAATCCTTTGTCAAACAAAAGCGTGATTTTGTTTAATCCTTTGTCAAACAAAAGGGTAAAAATATAAAAGACTCACATTGCCAAAAAAAAAAAAAAAAAAAAAAAAGGGTATAAAGCTCCCATGTACTAAAAATTTCAAATATTAACGGCTAGTCATCATCTTCTTCCTCTTACATTCCCCCCAATTCCCTTCCATTTTCCCAGAAACAACCCAGTTTCTCTGCAAATTCAACAATTCTTCCTCAAAGAAATTGACACTTTCAATAAAATAACAAAAAAATGTGGAAAGACAGAAATAACAGCGACGAAAAATTACTGGGATTTTACACTCCTCCTCCAAAACGCAGTTCAATATCTTCAAAATCATGGATGTCAGAACAAACCAAGAAGAATTCTGATATTTTTCATGTCATTCACAAAGTCCCTTCTGGTCATTCTCCTTATGTCAAGGCCAAACACGTTCAGGTATTCCTTTGAAGTGTCGAGAATCCGATACGGGTATTTGTGGGGTAATTAATTGTTGGAATTACTTTTTGTAATGCTGCTAGTTAACTAATTGAGATGAAAGATTTGATTATAATCATAATTTATTTGTTATTTTTGTTGAATTTTGATTTTCTCAGTTTTTCTTGCTGTTTCTTGATGATTCAGGGTTAATTGAGAATTACCGCCTCTTAATTTCTGTGTTTTTTTAGGAATTTGCTTCTGGGTTTTTTGGAATTGCGTTTTTCTTGTGAATTCATGCTATTGATTTGGTTTTACTGGTGTTTTTATTTTTTAGTTTTTTTTGCCCAAAACGAAAAAAACCCCATTCTCTTGGGATATTTCCAGATTTCCTGGAATTGTGGTTATTTATTGAAATTACTAAATTGGATTATTATCTGAATCTGTGCTTCTTTATTGAATTTACTAAAAAGGTATAATCTGAAATTCTGAATGAGTATTTCTTATTTTGAGTTAAATTGATATTCTGGATTTATTCATTAATTTTTAAAATTTTATATAAAAATGCAAGTTTGATTAATGCATTAGAAGTGTTCTAAATTGTGGTTGTGAGTGAATTAAGCGATTTGATCAATCTATCCTGTGTTTTTTGTCGCAAAGTTGATTGAGAAGGATCCAAGTAGAGCAGTAGCCATGTTTTGGAATGCTATAAATGCTGGTGATCGTGTAGATAGTGCTTTGAAGGATATGGCTGTGGTGATGAAGCAATTAGATAGGTCGGATGAGGCCATCGAGGCGATCAAATCATTTCGCCATCTCTGTTCATCAGATTCTCAAGAATCACTAGACAATGTTCTAGTGGAGCTCTACAAGGTAATACCTTGCTTTGCTTTGATCAATGTGTCTTCTGGTTGCTAGTCTGTTTGGAATTTGGATGATGTTTGTGCTCATTATTGAAGTAATACCTATGTTATTTCGATTACTGAATTCATTTCAAACACTGAACATACTTGATGATCCAACTTTAGTCTTTGATGTAATATAAGTGTAGAGTAACATAGTGTTATATTGCTAGGTAGCTATATATGAAGGGTTAAGGAGGAGTTTATCAGTTTGGTTAACTGCTTGTACTGCCTATCTTGCTTGTTTTCCTTAAATTAGCTAGAGATCAACTGCTACTTTCCATAAGATTTTTATTAATTGTATCTTGGGATGAGAGGCTGTTGGTATTTTTGTCCGTCGCATAATCTTTTGTTGATAGAAATGTACTTAGAAGTACATCAACAGAACATTGCATTTAAGTGCAACATGATTCTCCATAGTCTAGTGTAACATATCAGATGATGATAATGGTAATACTGATGTGGTAAGAATGTTTAGCATAACAGCATCCTAGAATTATAATTGAGCCAAAGGACATAGATTTTGTTTGACACTGATGATGATATAATTCTAATTTGTTTGAGACCTCAGCTCAGCTAATGTTTTAATGTTTTAATTTTAAAATTGCCTGCATGAATTCCAAATGTTTAGCGCTCAGGAAGGCTAGAAGAGCAGATTGAGGTTCTTCAGCAAAAGCTAAAGCGAGTCGAAGAAGGCTTTCGTTTTGTGGGAAGGAGAGTTAAAGTGGGAAAATCTCAGGGCAAGAAGGTTCAAATTACAGTTGAGCAGGAATATGCAAGGTGAGATGCAATAGATTATTATAACAATTGCATGTCATATCTTTATCAATTTCACCAATACATTTTCTGACCATATGCCTTGACATTTTTATACAGGCTTTTAGGGAACTTGGCTTGGGCATACTTACAACAAAATGACTATGAAACTGCTGAGGAGTATTACAGGTTTGCGCTTCTGCAAAGTATTGCATATGGACTTCTGCATCTGCCTTTGGCATAGTTTGTTTTTGTTTGGGTGTACCTAAATACATTTTATATACCTTGTCCAGGAAAGCTCTATCAATTGAGCCAGACAGGAACAAACAGTGCAATCTTGCCATCTGCTTGATGTGCATGAACAGGATAGCTGAAGCTAAGTTTCTTCTTCAAGTCACCCGTGCTTCAGCTCCTGAAGGGCTGATGGATGAGTCCTATGCCAAGTCCTTTGAACGAGCATCCGACCTGTTGGCTGAAATAGAAAATCAACCAGATGAATCTTCATGTGAAGCAGAAAAAGAAAATTGTTATGGAAATGCCAGATTCTTTGCTTTTAGCCCTCACAAAAAGCCATATGAATCTGTCCGAAACAGCAATAGAAGAGGTTCTGATAATGAACTTGATCTGAAAGATGGAGCTAGATCCAGGGATTCTTTTGCCACAAGCAATATTGGAAGTTCAGTTTATAACACAGCTGCATTTGATGCTAGTTTCAATTGTAAGAGAGCGTACACACCATCGGTTCCAGCAAGAGGAATCCCTAAGAGTCCTTTCACACAGCCCCGAAAAAGTTTAAGCCATGACAGCAGGAATTGGAGAAAAGGAACATACAGTAATGAACCAGTAAGCTGCTTGCCTCGCAGACTCCAATTTGAAAACCCTGCAGATTCAGGTTTTCAATCTACCAAAGATTTGAGAAGCGAATACTCGGAAACTGACGAGAAGGGGACTGAGAATACAATAAATATGCCAATCGATTCTACTCCAAATAGAAAAGTTTCGGACATGACAGCTGATGTGGACAGGAAAGAGCATTTGTCAGTAACAAAAACTTATGGTCCTGAAAATGAGGGTAGGGATTCTTACAGTTGTTTGTGGGATTTCTCAAGCTTTAAATCTCAGAAGAGCTGGGCTGATATGGCTGATGAAGAGGAACAGGAGATGTTGCAGATGCATCAATACTCAGTAGATACTCAGCAAGACTCATTGAAAACTAAGAACAGACTTGAGGTGTTCCGAGATTTGACTCCAGAATAATAGTGTGAATACTAAAAAGTGTGTAAATTTTGGTAGATTGTGCTTGTAGATTTTTGATAGATTGTGGTCACAAAATTGACTATATCCATTGATTCTTTAATGCAACTGTAAGTAAAATTTCATTTTATGATGTAAATGAGTAGTGTGCATTTTTGTACTTTGTAAAACTGTACTAGCAAAAGCAATAAAACCAAAGCTTTTTTAGCCTTAGTAGCAAATACAAGTAAAATGAAAAGTTCAAAACCTTGTGTTTAACAGTCAGCTGAAAATCATGAATGATTTGAATGCGCTCTTTTTGCTTTATACACAGAAATGTTGGTATTTTCTACCCAAGCATCATAGTTACTCCAATGGTCCAATGAATAATGTATAGAATTGAGTATGTTTTCTTTGCAATTAGCAATAATGTGTCGGCTCACTTGGTAAGTTCTTACCTCAAATCCTAGAGGTTTGGAGCTGGAATCTTGCAAGTAAAGGTATTTGGGGTAGAGACTTCTTTACTTAACCTTTACTCTCATATATTGTCTCATGTGCATGGCTTGAAAATACTGGACTAGCAAGACCGTACAAGTCATAGGTCCAAGTTCTTTTTACCATTTATTTTATTAACAGTATTGTGGTATATAATGCGAGTTTGTTCTTGGATAATTTCACGTATGTTGTGTTAAAAGGACCAAATTTTCCATAAAGGCTAGTTTCATATTTACCATGCAACTTTACCCTCTACCTCACAGATGCACACATCTATGTTTCTTTTAGGGTGTATTTTCTTATTAATTTATTGTAATAAGAGTTGTGTTGTTTCGTAATTAGGCAAATTCAAAGTTCATCTCGACTCCTTTGCAAAGGAAAACCTTCTCGATCGATCACGCTAAAGGTACATGTGAATAATGCGACGAAAATGATTCTAAAATTTTAAAATCTATTTGGGCTAATAAATGGCAGATTTCCATCTAAATTTTCCTACTTTCTTAACTTTGATAGATTAGGTTGTAGTTTTAAGAAAAGACGAACCTAATTGTATACATATACGAGTATTTTTTTCTTTCCTTAGAAAATAAGTACGGAGTTATTAATTGTTACTCCCTTCGTCCCTTTTTTATATTCCTGTTTGTAAAATTACACGGGAATTAAATAAATAAGAATAAAACAAATAAGAATAAACAAAACACAATGGGAAGTATAAAACATTAAATCATGTCTTTGAGTAAAACAAAGATAAATTAATATTAAATGATGCCATGTCATCAAACCTTTGCAAAAAAAAAAAGGACCAATAATATGCTCTTATTAGAAAATTAAGAACCAATTATATTCATCTAAATTTAGCAGTGAGAATAGGAAAGTAAGAGTGAAAAAATAAGAATGTGAAAAAGAGTGAACATTGATTACATAACAGAAAAAGAGAGATAATTTGGGGAAAAAAAATACTTAAGTCCTGTTCTCATTGACTAAACTCATCTGAATTGAATTGAATTGAATTGAACTGAACTGGACTGAACTGAACTGAGCTGAGATGACATGAACTGAACTGAATTGAACTAAACTGAAATGAATATTTTATAAGAGAAGGAAATTAGGAGCTGAGCTGAACTGAGCTGAACTGAACTGAATTTCAACGTAAGAGAACATACCCTTACTAAAAAAGAAAAGAGGAATGTAATTTTGGAATACCAAAAAAGAAAGCATGAATAAAAAAGCGAGTATTCCGTAAGTACTATTGGCCTAATGCTGTTGGTTGTTATTAATGTTGTTGACTTGCTAAGGGTAGCCTCACACCCCTTACCAAATTAAAAAGTTTAATTAATAAAATTATTACACTCTTACTCCATATTAATTATTTTGTTGTAGAATATATTATATAACCTTTTAATTTCACAATTTTTTAGGCTTGTGCGAAAATTAGTAACGGCCATTTTATAAGACTGAAGGAATACTACAGAGATAGATAACCATAAATTGGAATGCACACAAGCTGACAATTATGCGTGTCACCAGTCACCACATTTTGTAACAAATAAGAAACCGCGGCACATTTTAACATTAACAAAAACAAAATAACATTTCGTGTATCAAATGTTCTCCCAGAAAAACAACCAAACCAACAATTTCCACCTAAAATTCATTCAATTAATCGCAAATAATGTTTTTCTAAATTCTCCATAATCATTGAAATTCTTACTCTGATCAATTAACAAGTATAATCTACTGCTTGTTTGAATTATCGAATGTTTTCATTGGCGAGCAAAAGACTTTTGCAGCATGCAATTCGACGAACAACTGGAAATGGTTTTGGAATTAGGTGTTTTGCTGCAGTTCCTGATTCCAAAATTCCTTCATTTTCACAAAAACTCATCAATCTAGAGGATCAATTTAGTGCTCATAAGTAAGCTATTCTTCCTCACAATTTCTTCAATTTATCTTTTTAATTTAATTTTTTTTTTTTTTTTTTTTTTTCTGGGTATTGCCTTTTCTGATTGATGTTCCGTATTTTCAGTATTCTTATTGATGATAAAAAAAATGATTATTATTATTATTATTATTTATTTATTTATTTATTTTTATTTTTATTTTTATTTTATATATTTTTTGTGGGTGGAGATTATTGATGGTAATTAAGTTAGCTTAGTATTCCCTTAAATATTGATAGAGTTATGAGACATGAGATATAATCAATATCAGAAAATATATTTGTGTTATGCAATTTCCATATTTCTGGTCAAGCTTAGCACACTGCAATCTCACTGGGCATACAATTTGTTTTGTTAGTTGTTTACTTGTTATAGTTGTCAAATGATTGGAGTTAGGCTACTTATTAGATCATCGTTTGGATGGAGTGTTTTTGCTGTCTTTTGATGTGAAATTAGTTCGTATTCGATAGATGAATTTTAAAGGGAGGAAAGTTACACATTTGTAACTGCATAACATTGATTAAAATATTATGAAAACACATGATAGAGAGAGAAAAGAGGAGAGAGATAGGAAGAGAGAGGTCTGTAGGTGACACCTACCTATTTTTTGGTCGGATTGTATTACGTGATGGGGGACCACATGTTGATTGTTCTACTGAAAGTTTATATGGTACCATTGAATCCTCAGTGGTACTATTTATGCATAAATTTTGTACAACTGAATGCATATATAATACCATTATGTGCATAAATAATATCAGTGTATATTCAGTAGTACCATTTGATCATCCAATGACACCAGAATATGAATTCGTTTGTACATATGTATAATTACATGAATACCCCTTGTTATGCATTTGTAAATGCCTAACGTTCCTCCATTTCTAGTTCCTCGTATTCAATATGGCCTACAATTTTCATCCCACCTCTTGTACGTTCCTGACACCCTCCTTGTTTGTCTCAGTAAGTTTTCATGTGAATGTATTTTCATCTACCCTATTAATTTGAAAAAATTGAGCTACTGGTTGATAAATAATAAACCTGAGCTGTTATTGAAACATTATGATATTGATGATTGTAACTATATACTTTGGCAAGGAAAGACGGAGCTTTAAGATTATGGAGATTTTAGAATAAGTTGATGGAAGCCAAGATCAATAAACCGGAATCGGAAAGCATGGGAATTTTAGGGCTTGTTGGTACCTCCAAATGGGTCCTTATAGAGAAAGGGATGGAGATTTTTTTAGAAAAAATGGAAACTAATAATCTCACCTTTGCTTTATCTTTTTTTAACAATCCCACCTTTTGATTATTCCAAAATAATCCCACCTTTTATCTTAATCTTCTTCTAACAATCCCCGACGTGTTAAATTGTTTTGGTAACCTGTTTTCCTAGGTTAGTTGTCACGTGTCACTATTTAACAAGTCTATTTCATTTTTTGTAAAAAAAACAAAAAAAACAACCCCAGGTCCCACCATAGTCTGAATGACCAATCAACCACCGTGCCCCCACCCCTTGTGCTGCCGTGGGATGAATGGCCACCCCCTTTCCCTCCCCATCTGCATGAACAGCCAGCCCTGTTTCCCCTTCCTCGCCGGCAGCAAGCCCCACCCCAATCCTCACCTCTAACTTCTTTTCATTTCACTTTAACATCTGAGTTCGTTCATTTTGATAGGAAAAATCATCTAATAATGTAATTGACTAGCAATAAGTACACTATCACAATCACTACCATTAAGAATCAATCAAAATTCAATTGCAGGATCAATATCAAATTCATCACCAGCACCTACACATTTGGTATATTGATGACATTAATTTATTAGCTTAAAGTATACGATTTTTGAAATAATATTATTTCAACTTTGTATTTGTTCTGAAAACATCACAAACAACCCAAATACTCTAAATGAAACCAAAAACATAAATTAGTCAGCTTCAATTCCGCGACTAAACAAGTAAATACAACAATTGGGTTATTAAAAAAGACAAATTGGTATTACACTTCAGTGTGGGGTTGCGGATTGCAGTTGGAGGGTGAAATGAAATCGTGTGGGTTGCTGTAAGGTGGTTGTAGGCGGTGGCAGTGCTTGGGAGGTTGGATCTCGGTGGTAATGGTGGCGAGTGTTTATTTGTGTGGTTGGGGTGAGTTGCGTGAGGTGTGTGGTGATTTGTGTGAGGTAGGGGTAGGGAATCGAGGAGGAGTTGGGAGTGGGGATTCACGCAGCATGGAGTAGCCAAGCAGGCATTTTTGAGGTTGGGTGGTTCAGGAGGATGGAGGTGGTGGCAAGATGTGTGGGTGGTGGACGGGAGGCCATGGTGAGAGGAGAGAGTCTCGTAAGAAAAAAAAAAAAAAAAGACCCGGTTTAACCGGTTAAAGGTCAAAAGGACTGTTATAAGAAGATTAGAGTGAAAGGTGGGATTGTTTTGGAATAATCAAAAGGTGGGATTGTTAAGGGAAGATGGAGCAAAGGTGGGATTATTAGTTCCATTTTTCCATTTTTATGAAGGAATTTGTATACAGAAGAATATAACATCCGATAGAAGTGAAAGGAGGGAGAGTATTTTGTTGATGATCACTGGTAAAATCCCTATCCTATTAGGATTAAAACTTAAGGGCTCATTTGACATCGTTTTCAGTTTTTTGTTTTTTCAAAACTGAAAATTGATTTCAGTTTTTTATTCTCTGTTTTTAAAAACTGTTTTCATTTTTCAGTTTTGAGTTTATAATCAACTCTCAAAATACAACCAAATCATTTATAGCTTTAATCAACTATTTTACTACCGATAATTATTTATTATTATTAATTTTTTTATTTAATAACAGCTTATTTATTTTCACAAAAAAATATATATATTTCAATAATAAATTTATTGATTGAATAAGGTTATAACAAAATTTAAAGGAACAACTACGGAAAAAAAAGGTAACAATAAAATAGTCAAATGCAATGTAATATTTATTCCTCGTTGAAGACTTTCATTGTGAATTTTGTCTTTCCCACAATCTTGTTGCCAAACGATCTCGAAATTGAGCCATTCTGTGAGGTTCTTGTTGACTTTTAGAAGGAGTCACTAGGTCCTCAGATCCATTGTTGTTGATTGCATCATCTTCTAGTTTGACATTTTCATGCGCATACTGTATGAACAAAGGATCTCCGTCCTTGCACATTTTTATGAAATTGTGGATAACACAACACAACAAATTTATATATTTTTGTCGTTTTAAGTCTTATGAAGGCATATCTTTGAGAATGGGAAATCTAGCTTTTAATACCCCAAAACATCTTTCAATAACATTTCGCAAAGAAGAATGTGTATAATTAAATATTTCTTCAGGACTTTGTGGGCTCGTTGCTCCTCTATAATCAAGCAAATGATATCGTTCTCCACGATACGGTGAAAAAAATCCTGGCATATTTGTATAGCCTAAGTCTACAAGATAATACTTTCTAGTAGGAGGCATAGGAAACTTGGTCTCTTCTACATTTGTAATTGTTTCCCAAAAAATTCTTGAATCATTTGCCGAACCTTCCCACCCAGCCATCACAAATGTAAATTTCATGTCAAATGAGCAAGCGCACATTACATTCATTGTAGGCTTTTTTTCTTTTCCACGATAGGGAATTTGATCATCTTGTGGCACACGTGCTGATACATGAGTTCCATCAATAGCTCCCATGCAATTCTATAATAAATCGTTAAATTCAAACTACATACTTAGTGAATTAATACATAGATAATATGTAAAAATAAAACATTAATGACAAAAAATTACCTTGAAAATCGGTTAGTATCTTGGGTTATTTTTTATTTCTGGAGGTATTTCGTCAAATGCCGGAGGAACAATCCAATGCTTCGATAAAGATGCAATGGCATACAAAACCTTTCGAAAATGGTGGTGAGTAGATTCTAAGGAATGTTGAAATCTATCCGCTATAAGTCTGTGCCTCAAATTATGAGAAATAATAAGAAGAAACATTGCAACTTGTTCTTGAATTGATATAAATTTGGAATCTTGCAACTTTTCCCTTTTTTTCAATTCTTCACACAAGCTAATAAAGATAGATCTGAGGAGTCATTCGAAGCAACATAACATGTCATTGGATGACCGTTAAGCAATTCAAGGACATATTGGTGACCTGTTAACTTTGAAATTCTTTGCAAACGAGTTTTCTTTTTAAGGAACCCGTTATTTTGTAAGTTAATATAAATTGTCAATATTTGTTGAAAATCTTCCTCATTAGAATCTGATAAGATATCTTCAATGTCGAAATCCATAACTATCTGCATTTTTTACATATAAATGTTATAAGCAAGCATATAGTATATTATCAGTACATATAAATGTTATAAGCAAGCATAAAGAATATTATCACCATTATTATTTTTATTAAATCAAACCCAAATACAAAATAAAAAAAAAAAAAAAAATCATACTTACGACAAAATCTAAATTGAGTTTAAACACTCAAACATGCATTATTGAAGGGAAATAAAAATTTTACTAACGAGACAATGCTTAAAGGTTGAGCACAAAATCTATCTTCCTATCATTTGGAAATCTAATAAACATTTTCCTCTACAATGGATCATCATGTATTAGTTTAGTTGCCTTTGCAAATGAAGCTCCATCAATTCCCTCAAGAGCACTCGGTGCATCTACACATTCCATGAGCAAATCATGATCCTCCTTGGACTGATGCCCACCTTCATCATTGCCATTAAATTTTCTCTCGATAAGTTCAAGTTTTTTCTTGGAATTTTCACTCATTGTAACCAAGGCATCCGCCATTGCTACATTAACACTTTCCCTAAGTTTCTTACGATTGACATTAGGCTTGATTTTTTTGTTTTTAGGACCCTCTTCACATTGTTTCTTGAGTCACCCCCTTCTCCGTCTGTGTCATCTTCATCCTCACTCTCAAAAGGGCTTTTAGTAGAAGGATGTGAACTAACACCAGTAGCGGTTGTATCCCCATAAATTGTGCATAATTTATCATAATGCTTACATCCCTTCTTTCTAAAAGTTTTGGCATACTTATTTTTTTGTAACAACCATACATTCACATCAAATATCACAAAAATAAAATCGTATTAATTTAAAAATGTCCCTACTTGATCCATAAAAGAATATCAAAATAAACTTATTGACAATTACCTCATACAACTTTTTCCATACAGCATCCTCAGCACAAAGTTGATAAGTCATAGCATTGTATCCCATTCCAGTTTCTTGTACTAGTTTACTAAATTCCTTCCATCTTTGTCTTAGTTGGTTATATTTGTTCTTAAGTTGTTCTTAACTATAATCCTTTTTTGTCTTCTCCTTTAGTTTTTGCTTGATAAACCTCCAAGCTTGCTTGGTTAGAGTGGTTGTTGGTCTATTTCCTTTTTTTACCTCCTCCTCTATCAAGCTTATAAGGTAAGATTCAATATTTTCATTCCATACTCCAACTACCCAGTAGATTCAATGATTCAATCTCAACAATTTCATCTTCGCACTCGTCATTTTTCAATTTTGACATCTATAAAGTAATTCACTATTAGACATAATAATCATCTAATTCAACTAAACAACCAATGTGCAGCAACTAGAAAAACAATAGCATATGTAAACTTCACCAATATCATACTAGCAACAAGATAAAGCAAGAAGAGAAAGAAAAAAAAGAGCACAACACATCCAACACACTCCATTACGCCATTATTAGTAGACTAACAATGAACGTTTTAAGGACAAAGATTAAAAATTTTATTATTGCTGATGTCACAAATGTGTGATAGAGAATTAGAGATAAAAAATTATTAAGAGTTACCTAATTCCATTGTAGGTCCTTAGAAAGCATAACCATTTGTCTGCCATTACCAGTATGTTAAACATACAAACTTTATCAAAGTAATTGATCCTATTATTTAAGCTAACTTGGCATATAGCTCACATAAAGTGTACTACAAAAGTAATACTAGTTTTTCTCCAATATGTATAAATCATATTACTTTAAACGACATGTCTATGGCCTAGACTTATTAGCAACAAAAACACTTAGAAGATTAAAATCGACGAGCTACCCCAACTCACACAACCAGTTCTTTTTTTTTTATTTTTGACTGAGGAAGTTATATCAATACTTTTCATTGACTCGATGTTAAAGAAGGCAGCTCAAGTAAAAGGGAAAAATGCAAGAGAATAGTGAATAATAAAGCATAATTTTGTACAACATACAAAAATCAACCAGTAGCAAAAGTAGGCCAGCCAACCAAAGTATCAGGGGAAAAATAAAGAGTATGAGATCACAATCACTTTAGGAGCTTTTCTGATACAAGATCGTATCACAAGAGAATTGAACCATCCCAGTTCCCATATACTAGCTTTAGGTAGGCGATCCCATACAAACCCACATCAGCCCCCATATAACCTTACTATACTCACACAACCAGTTCACATAGTAGATAGTAGACACTGTAATTAACTTATAGAATTGACATGAATTACATGATATTCTGCCCATAAATTCAATAAATTCAATTTACAACATGATATAATTATTCAATTACACTAACAATTAATCAACAATCGTATTATTTCAGGAGAAAAAATTCTCTAAATATAAAACCCAAATTAAATCATATACAAATTAGACAAAGAACAATTAAAATTCAGAAAAATAAAGAACAAAGATCATCAATTTGATCAACGAAAGTGAATACAACCAAATTTAACAACAAAAACATCAATAACTTTATAAATTAAGAAAGAACAATCGGAAGAAACATGGTGATTACAAACAAAATTAAAAAATTAAAAAAACGAGAATGGAGAACGCTCCATACCTGTAATTGCTCCTTGAATCTTGAGAATGATTATTGCTTGAGGAAGAAAGATGAAATATTGAATTTGGAGGAGATACGTACAATGATAATACACTTGATAGGGTTTATTATTTGTAAAAAATAAAACAAAACCTCAAAAACTCCTTTTAGGTGTTTTAGGTTTACTGTTTTATTTTTTATAAAATAGTTGTAAAGTTGTTTTTTTAAGCAATTTTGCCAAACACTGTTTTGTTTTATTTTGGGGGTAAAAAACAAAAAAACCAAAAACAGCAATGATGCCAAACACACCCTTAACAATTCTATTGTTTTTTTTTTTTTTTTTGAGAAAATCTACACCCCAAACAATTATTCTCTAGAATTTGAATGGGAAATGTTGCATGCAAACTATGCTTGCATCATCTATTGTTAAACGTGAGGACAACCACCACACTACATTAATTAGGAGGCAAAGAGAAATGAGGAATTCACTCATGAGGAAACATTGCACAAAATCCTATGATTTCTTATCCTACCCATTAACAATGTGCTGATATCTAAATGTAGGTATGTATAGGATTTTCAGCTTGTTCTTTTGCAAAATGTCATTTTGTAACATGTTTATAAACATTTCACATCAATCATTTCACCATTATTATCTCTTTTTGAAGCTCACATACCGCCTTTGTTTGGAAATTCATATTGAAATAAATTTAACATGGGGGGTGGGGGCGAAGCATAGTGGTCAAGGAGTCCGTGTGATGACGGGAGCCAATATAGTGAGAAAAAAAGGCCCATATGTTAAAGAGATAGATTGAGGAAGTGAGACATATGAGAACCCACATGCAAAAAGGTAACTTTGTTTAGAATTTTAAAACTTTCCCCAGACAAAAGTGTTGCATTTATATTATAACAAAGTTTACTCAACACAGAGAGCATAGTAGAATTTTAAATTCATATTTTAGTTATTACAAATTTTTATAGCCAAAGATTTCTTCACAATGGACATGGTTTAGAGATACAAAGTACATGTTCAAGTGTAATTTTAAATTAAGTTTCCTTATTTACTACATTGTGTATTTGAAAATTCTTTGTTTAGTCAATTCTTTGTCATGATAGCTATAAATGAAAGTGAGAACAAATTGTGCTAGCTTGTACACGATAAATGATAATTAACAATAACGAAGACGAAAAACAAGTAAACAACAAGACAAAAGAAAATTCACCATGAGAAGCCAGAGAATCAGGATAAAAACCCACCAATTCACTATAGAGATGAAGAATAATATAGTTTGAAAGCTTTCAAAGCACCATGAAAGCTCCCACCTGACAGACTAAACATTCCCACGGCCATAAATATTAAGTGTTGGGACTTTTACATTTGAGGCTCTTTGACTATTACAGACTAAATATGAGTATACATAGTGGAAGGCGTAATAAAACAATCCTACTGCCATAAATAAGCCACGCTACTTAAATTGCTAAACCATAGAAAACAGGGGCAAGATGTTGGGTGAACCAAGCCATGGTTTGGACTTTGGGACAGTTTTCCCTTTAAGTTCGGGCAAACCTTTTCTAGGTTCGGGCGAACTTTCTCATAGTGCAGACAATTCTTTGTAAAACGGCCATAACTTCCTTGTTTCTTGTCCAAAACGAGCTTACGACTAGGTCATTGGAAAGCTCTCTAGACAAGCTATCACCTCCAACTTGAATAATCTCAATATTATTTCTAGGTTTTGATATATGCTCATTTGAAGTTAGCCCATTGCCATCCATCATTGCTTCGTACCAAGCAGTCAACCTATAGCTTAACTCCAAAGCTATGCATCCTTATGCCTTGGACAACTGTTCATACATTCCAAACCTTAAAGTAAACTCGTAAAATACCAGCGATTTTAAATATGCCATTTTAAATATGCCACAGCCAATTCCATTCACATTCTCATCTATGTATATGTAGTATGAAAGAATGAAAAGTATAGAGTTGCGCAATGACATGGGAGGGTGGTGGTATAGGTGCACACCTTTTTTTTTTCCTCCCACTTGACACTTTTGTTGTAAGGGAATAATGTAGAGGGAATGCAAATTATGCTTACTTTGTATACTAGAGTGGTACGCTTTGTTGTTGACAGGTTTTTATTGTTCACATGCAGTTACCATCCAATTCCCATGGTTTTTTCTCAAGCAAGAGGATCTTCAATATGGGATCCAGAGGGGAACAAGTATCTTGACTTTCTGTCTGCATACTCTGCTGTTAACCAGGTATATTTTGAGCCGCTGCCCATCCCTGGTTTTGGCATATCTACCAAACAATCTACTCACTTGTTGTATTCCAGTGCCCGGAGTATGATTATACCTGATATTTAAGCTTGTCAAAACTTTAGTTTTTAGGTTACTTGTTTTCCCCATCTCTTTGATAATTTTGGTAATTGAATAGTAGGGAAACTGTTTATGAAGTTGATTGACTTTTCCTTTCTTCATGTAGGGACATTGTCACCCTAAGATTATGAAGGCATTAATTGAGCAGGCAGAAAAGCTCACTCTCAGTTCTAGAGCTTTCTACAATGACAGGTTTCCCGTATTTGCCGAGATGATAACTAGTATGTTTGGATATGATATGGTGCTTCCAATGAATACTGGGGCCGAAGGGGTAGAAACTGCTCTCAAGCTTGCAAGAAAGTGGGGTTATGAAAAAAAAAAGATTCCTAATAATGAGGTGGGATTAATCTTATATTCATGGTGTCTGTGTTTTTTGTATTTTATTTGGTTGAGGATTTCAACTCTGGGTATTGCCTGTGATTGAAGCTTGAGCTGCATGGTTTAGATGAGTATGGTTTATTTGGGAAGTCTCATTCTCTCATTTATGTTTATCAATCATCCTATGTAATAGAGCATGAGAAATTGTAGCTTACAACTCATTTGTTATCCAACCAACCTAGTCATGTTGCATTCTTGGATTATTGTTTTATTGTATTGTTTATAGATCAATTTACTTTTTTAAAATCGCAGGCCATTATTGTTTCTTGTTGCGGTTGCTTTCATGGTCGCACTCTAGCTGTCATCTCAATGAGCTGTGACAATGAAGCAACCCGTGGTTTCGGTCCTTTGTTGCCGGGTCATCTCAAAGTTGATTTTGGAGATGAAGTTGCCCTTGAAAAAATATTTGAAGGTCTGAAGTATTTTTATTCTAAATGTATGAATGCATTTAATTAAAGCTTGCCCATGTTGCCGGAATATAGTACACTCAGATATGGTTTCAATTTTTTTGTTTAATCTGGATAGTCTTATAGATTCTTGATCTGTCTTTGAATTTGGAGGAATCTGAACCTGTGCCTCAACTAAGAAATGTGCAATAATTTCTATCTATATTAGGGTTTGTGTTTAGACTTGTCATATCGTTGTGACCCAAAAACTTGGCTCAAATTTGTATCTTTAATCCATTAAATGACAAGTTTATTATCATTTTAATGTTTTCCGTAACAGGTTCACTTTTTTCGATTGTTATTTGTAGAGTATAATTAAAAAATTGTAATCATGTACAACTGTGTAATAGTTGTTTCAAGTATCATTCAAGTTGTTGAAGAAAAGTAATGGAAAGGTGCTATTGACTTATGTGATTAATTTGTTTAACCATAGAGTTTCAAGTCAAGGCTGAAGCCGCTGAACATTCTTCATTGTGAAGCAATATTTCTTGACCCCGTTTTTTATAAAGTCTGAAAGCATTTTAGGTGGCCCTGCTTGATGGGTCAACTTCATTAACTTGTCTCACCTGAGTCAATTCTGTTGATTGTGAGTGGAGTAAGTCAAGTACCAGCTGAGGATTTTACAACCTTTTTGCATCATTTATATATGCTACATATTTTATGAGCATGTCACACTTTACCTTGAAAGTCTGATTGTTGAATATAAATCTTAAAGTTGATATTCTTGTTTACTGGGATTGAGAATCAGATGACTTTTTCAATGTTATATCTTGTCTGAATCTTTCTTGTTATGTGGACCACAGAGCATGGAGATAATATTGCTGGATTCTTATTTGAACCCATTCAAGGGGAGGCAGGGGTAAGATACTAAGATCTCCCATTTATTTACTGGGTTTTATTCTCAAGATTGCTTTGATTCTCAAGATTGCTGTAGTTGTTTGAGTGCTTATTTTTGTATTAATCTGAATGTGGTTTTCATCGGACTTTTGAGGAAGCTTTTTTATTTTAAATTTTTTTTATTTTTTATTTTTTTAATTTCTTTTGTGGTATTAATCTTCTTCTTCTTCATCTTTATAAGCTTCAGGTGCATTCCCATGCTCTTTTACTCTCCAAGAGATTGGAGAGACTTCTAAGGGATGTAGTCTGGGCTTGATTTTGGTAAGGAGAAGAGGGATTCCTGTGTAAGATGGAATTGTGTTTTGTAGACCTGAAGTGGAGGGAGACCTCAATTGTGTTTTGTAGACCTGAAGTGGAGGGAGACCTCAGGTTTGGGAATTTGATTTCCAGAATATCACTTTGATGTGAAATAGATCTAGCAATTGGGAAGGTTGGGTCAGACTTGTATCAAGTAGGGTCATTTGTGGGTTGCCTTTTTCAACGGGTTTAATGGGTTGGGTGGGTCACGAGCTGTGTTACTCGGACACTGAAAAATGCCCCATATCCAGGTCGATAACCCTGACACTGATCTGGGTATAAAATATGGTATGGATATACCAGTTTACACTTGGGTAAAAACTACCTACTCAAACCTAAGTCAACAAAAACAGCCCAATAATAAACAAGGAGGGAGGAAGATCTAGGTGAAGGTGTTCAGGTCTAAGCAGTGAACCCTATGTGGCAGAAGTTGGAGAGATAGAAAGGTGGTAACTGAAGAATTTAAGCGGGGTTTAACTTTTAATTCCATTTCCTCTTTCTAAAAACAATCAGTCAATCAATCAAAGCCTTAATCCCATAAGTAGGGTCGTCACTTTTTAAAAACATTGACGATTAGGAGAGGGTTAAAGACCCTATATTCTCGCGTTCTTACCACTGTCCCACACTTGGCCACCACAACGGGCCTCCAGCACATGCCGATCGGCAATCTATACCATGTTTTGAAATCCACTGGTGGCCATATTGTTTTATTGTTTGTAGGTGTCCTACAACTCATGAACCGGTTTATAGGTTTTTGATCTGAATCCCAGATCTGAAAGTTACATTGAAGAAATTTGGGTCAAATAGTAGGATATTGACACTTGTTTTCATACACATCATTGACATTAACAATTTTTCGGAGCTGTGGAGTTGAGTTATGTCGACATGCGACACCCATTGTTAAACCAAAGCACCAGAGTAATTGAGGAGTTAATTGTTATTCAAATGTGATAAATGTAAGATTATAGAAGCAATAAAATTAAGTAACAGGGGGGAATCATGAGAGAGTGAGACAGAATACATAAATGTAGTATTTTACTTTAGATAGAAGTGTAACACTTAAATAAAACTGATGATATAACCAGGTGTAACCCTTAAAAGACATAAGGGAGTATATAATTTCAATATTAAATTTTATAATTAAAAAATAAATTTATAAACACAATGCCCCTCATCACCAAAATAAATAATCCATGCACCAAAACCTTCCCAAAATCACTTTGCATGCTGTGTTCATAACAAGCCCTCACGATACATTGCTTGATTCTTTTCCAATAATTTTAAGAGGAAATTTATTTAAAAATTAACCTCCTTGTTCTTAAGTTTTTAGGTAGGATTATAATGGGAATATAGGAAAGTACAACATTTTTCCTCGTTTTTTTAATTTTATTTTTATTTTAATATTCGTATTGAGCCGAAATTTTGTATAATCACGACTGTTGTCATCGAAAAAATAAATTAGATTTATCGTCAAAGGATCATGTTTAACACATCATATAGCAGAGTCAGTCTCGAATAATTAGTTATTAGGTTAGGCTCTTTACTACTCCTAGTCTTGCTAGAGATGAAACAAAATTATACTTCCTCTGTTCACTTTTACCCACAACGTTTTGACTTTCACGTTTTCCAATACATGATTGAACACCTTCCCCCCCCCCCAATTTTTTTTCTTTTTATTTATAATTATAGAAAAGTAAAAAACATAAAAAATTGATATTGGGAAAATTGTAAATTGAGACAAATCTATGTAACGACTGCTGAGAAGAGCAAGAGCAAGCACAATGATTAGATTACTTATGAGCGCAGGGGCAAGAAAGGACAGCAGCAGGGAAAGCCACCAAATCAGTGCACTAATCAGTGACAGCTTCCATATTACATTTTTGTCTCTTTTGCTTTTGGCTTGATATGTGTATATAACAAAGGGGAGGGGGGAGTGTGTTGGTAGGCTGTGAATTCGTAAATTCTAGGATAGGAGATTGGTGCCCTAAAGGTACTCCCTTGAGGCCAGGCCTCAAGTCACCATTTTGTTTAAATCTTCCGTTTTTGAATCAATGAAACAACAACCTTCTTCCCTAAAAAAATCATATCTTTATTGCTTGAATACTTGAGTTTACATTTACAGCTAACAAGGGCGTTACAAGTGGTATCAGAGCGGTGATCCTGTGACTGCCGTCACCGGAAAACATCACACCACAACTCTCATTATTATTAATAATAATAATAATAATAATAAAAAAGAGAAAAAATGGTTATTTTTGCAACTCAGAGGTGTGATACCTTAGAAGAACAAATGGCCGGAGTTCAAACTCAACTAGGAGCGTTAGAAACAGCGTTGAAGACCCAGGAGGAGTCCCTGAAGAAATCGATGGAGGAGGCCATAACCGATTCGAGTTGTTCTGGCAACAACAGGAGGCACAGATGACAGTAAACACCACCATCCAAACCCAATTTTTCGAAGAGTTGCGAAATTTGGTGAATCTGAGAAACCACGACCAAGGATAGGGGATGAACTTTGGAATGCGGAACTTGAATGATTTGAACGGCGGTGGCGACCACCCTTGGACTCACGGAGGATAAAAAACTACAAGCCGCCATCTCCGCCATGGAAGGCGATGCTCTGAGGTGGTTCCAATGGGAAATTAGGAGGCGACCTATACCTAACTGGGAGAGCATGAAGAGCCGTATTTTGCGCCAGTTCCAGCTAACCTACGCCGGCAGCCTTCACGAGCAATGGTTGGCGGCGACTCAGGAGACGACGGTGACGGAATATCGCAAGAGGTTCATCGAGTTGTCTGCTCCGTTAGAGGACATACCGGAGACGATAATGATGGGGCACTTTATTAACGGACTAAAGGATGACATTAAAGCTGATGTGAGGTTGATGAATCCTTTTGATCTGGAACAGGCTATGGAAATAGCGGGTCCGGTCAAAGAGAGGAACCGGGTTGGTGGGTATAAGAAGGGAACCGGTTATTTTGGGTCGGGTAGTTCCATGGCTAGCAGTAGCGGATCTGGGCCTAAAAGCTTAGTTAGGCCAAGTGGGCCTGGACTCATACAAGCTGACGGGACTCCAACCCAGCTAGCTTTAACGTTCAAAGGCTAGCCTAAAGCCCCTTAGGCCTCTGTTAATTTTGCAAGGTCTACCAACACCACTTTAGTCAAGACCGGTGAACCACAGCGGTTAACTGACGCCGAACATCAAGATCGAAAGGCGAAAGGCCTTTGTTTTTGCTGTGATGAGCGCTGGAGTGTCGGACATCGGTGTAAGAACCGAGAAATGAGTTTTCTCATTCTAGGGGGAACAGACGACGGCGATGTGGGTCCTTCGAGGGCCGCTGCCGACGACACCAGCGAAGAAGAACTATCACCCAAGGTCACTTTGTGCTCGGTAGTGGGTATCTCTAACCCGAAAACAATGCAACTCGAAGGAAGAGTGGGGCCAAGGTCGGTGGTGGTCCTTGTAGACCCAGGAGCAACCCATAACTTCATCTCCGACGGCTTGGTGTCGGAGGTTTGAATACCCGTGTCAGGTACGCAAGAATTTGGGGTTTCTTTGGGTAATGGGGACATTATTGTGGGTAAGGGAAGATGCAGGGGAGTGAGGGTAGTCATTAATGGTGGATTTGTGGTGGTCGAAAACTTCTTGCCATTGAAGTTGGGTAATGCAGATTTAATCTTGGGAATTGAATGGTTGGAGAAGCTAGGGCCGGTCGTACACAATTGGAAAACTCATCTCATGAGTTTATGGTGGGTGAAGAGAAGGTGACCTTGGAGGGGAATCCTGCCTTGACTCGAACTCGAGTCACCCTCAAGGCCATGATCAGAAATTTACGACATGAACGGGGAGGATTTTGGGTGGAAGTTAATAGTGTTGAGAAGGCAGGGCAGGCAGGTGGCAGAAGCAGAAGAAACAGATGTGCCAGGGTGGTTGACCGAGGTTTTAGAGCAGTTCAAGAGGGGTGTTTGTCCCCCTAGTGGGCTGCCACCGAAGGGTGGTCATGAGCAACGTTACAAGGTACAAGGTACGATTCGAAACGCGGTACAGAAACGGATACGTGGTACGTTACCATGTATGAATCCGGTATGATGGGTACGATGTGTTTAAAAATCTAATACTGTACTTATTATTTTTATATTAGTATAATAATGTAACAATTTAAATTTAAATAAAAGTAGTGGAATTTTAAAAAATAAAAAAGAAAATTGAAATCCCCAAAATCATCACGTGACTTTCTTTAGTGGGGTCAAAAAGTCAAGAAATTAATAAAAGATGAAAATAAAAGAAACCACACAATGTGGACAGCTGTCCCACCCAACTCCCCCTCCACCTACCCTAGTAGCCTTGTCCCTTCTCTCTCTTTGGGGTCTGCAACAAGCTTAATAATGGAGTCTTCACAAAATCACGGCCGAGTTTTTACACGTTCCAAGCTACGAAATTGGGGTCGCAGAGTCCGGCGACTTGAGTCGCGACCACCGGCGAACTGAGTTGTGCCTATACCGTGTTCCGGTACGAGCGAATCAGGTCGCGATTCGCAGCAACCTACCGCGAACCTTGTAACGTTGGTAATGAGCATGCTATAGTGTTAGGCCCTATCGATATCCACAATTTCAGAAAGATGAAATTGAAAGGTTGATCAAAGAGATGCTAGAGGCATGGATAATTAAACCTTCCGCCAGTCCGGTTTTATTAGTTAAAAAGAAAGATGGTTCGTGGTTGTTTTGTGTAGACTACCAGGCCTTGAACCGGGAAACAATTTCCGACAAATACCCTATTCCTATCATAGAGGAATTACTTGATGAGCTCCACGGGGGCTGCTGTGTTTTTGAAATTGGACCTCAAATCGGGTTATCATCAGATTTTAGTGAGAGAAGAAGATACGCACAAGACAGCCTTTCGGACCCACGAAGGGCATTATGAATTTCTAGTGATGCCCTTCGACTCACAAATGCGCCGGCCACCTTCTAAGCACTCATGAACGATGTGTTTCGACCATATTTTCGGAAATTCGTGCTAGTGTTTTTCGATGACATCCTAATCTATAGCTCGGATAAGGATAGTCACTTGGAACACATGAAAGTGGTGTTATCCAAACTAAGGGAGCATAGCTTGGTGGCTAATTTCAAGAAGTGTGATTTCGGCCAAGCTAAGGTAGCTTACTTGGGACATGTAGTGTCCAAGGATGGAGTGGCGGTCGACCTTGAGAAAGTAAGGGCCATGGTGGATTGGCCTATCCCACAAAATCTGAAAGAATTGTGCGGGTTCCTTGGATTTACCGGGTATTACCGGAAATTCATAAGAGGGTATGCCCAAATTGCAAGGCCGTTGACTGAACAATTACGCAAGGATAATTTTGGGTGGTCAAGTGAAGCTACAACAACTTTTGAGAGGCTGAAATCGGCTATGGTTTCGGCCCCTGTTCTAATTATGGGCTGGGCGCGGTACTAATGCAGGAGGCTCGGCCTGTGGCATTTTCCAGCAAATTATTGGGGCTAAAATCGCAAGCTAAAGCCATTTATGAAAAAGAATTAATGGCAATTTGCTTGGCGGTAAATAAATGACGCCATTACCTCCTTGGGCGATACTTTGTTGTGAGGACCGACCAACAAAATTTGAAGTACATTATGGAGCAAAGAAAGGTAAGTGGGGAACATAAAAAATGGGTTCGGAAATTGTTGGGGTTTGATTTCGAGATCCAATTTAAACCCGGGGCTAGTAACCGGGTAGCCGATGCCTTGTCTAGAAAGGGAGGAACCGAGAAGGGGTTAGCAAATTTAATTTCAATGGTGGGAATCAATTGGGAAGAATTGGAGAAGGAAGTCAAGGCTGACCAAGACTTAAGTCGAATTATAGTAGACCTGGCAGCAGATGCTAAGGCTCATGTAGGCTTCACATTGGAGAGGGAGAGGTTGCTATTCAAAGGAAGAGTGGTGATTTCTAAGGGGTCGTTCCTAATCACCAAACTCTTGGCAGAATACCACGATAGTCCGGTTGGAGGACATCAAGGGGAAACTAAAACATATTTGAGGATAGCCTCGGAATGGTATTGGTTGGGAATGCGGAAAGAAATTGGCGTGTATGTAAGGCAATGTGTCGTGTGTCAACAGGCCAAACACTCACAATTGCAGCCCTTGGGTTTGCTGCAATCTTTACCCATTCCCGAGGCCATATGGGAAGACATCTCAATGGATTTTGTGGAAGGGCACCCCCATTCGAAAGGGATGGATTCGGTGTTGGTGGTAGTTGACAGGTTGTCTAAGTATGTGCATTTTATTGGGTTGAAGCACCCTTATAGTGCTTTGACAGTAGCCGAGGTGTTCACTAAGGAGATTGTGCGGCTCCATGGAATGCCAACCTCAATTGTTTCGGATAGGGATCGCATTTTTATGAGTGTGTTTTTGGAAGGAACTGTTTTGGCTACAAGGGACGGACCTCAAGCGAAGCACTTCATATCACCCACAAACCGATGGTTAAACCGAGATCGTTAACAAAATTCTTGAGACCTATTTGCGTTGTTTTGTGAATGGTAAGCCCAAATCATGGGGAAAATGGCTGCATTGGGCGGAGTATGCCTATAATACTTCTTATCATTCTTCTACGGGGTTCACACCTTTTCAAGTGGTTTATCGAAGGGAACCACCCAAGCTAATTAAAGTAGGTCATGGGCAGACCCCAGTTGATAGGCTGGAAGAATGGCTTCAAGAGAGAGATGTGGTGATAGATGACTTGCACATGAACCTGATTCGAGCTCAAAACAAGATGAAGTTTCACGCAGACAAGAGGAGGGAAGAGGAATTTCAGGTTGATGATTGGGTCTATTTGAAGTTGCAGCCGTATAGGCAAAAATCTCTTGCAAGGATACCCAATGTGAAGTTAGCACCGCGCTTTTACGGTCCCTTCAAAGTGGTTCAATGTATTGGGAAGGTAGCATACAAGCTGGAACTGCCACAAACTTGCAGAGTACACCCCATATTCCACGTGTCTCAACTCAAACGCGCAATAGGTGAACACTTGGTAAGCCCCACGATACCTCAGCAGCTAACAGAGGAGCTCGAGTTAAGAGCTGAGCCAGAGAGTGTACTGGACATCAGGGCTGCTGCAAGTAACCCCAAGGCTCGAGAGGTGCTAATTAAGTGGCAAGGGTTACCCTTAATTGAAGCTAATTGGGAGGAAGAAAGCACTATTCAAGAGAGATTTCCATCATTTCACCTTGAGGACAAGTTGACTCTTGAAGGCGGGGGGGGGGGGATGTAACGACTGTTGAGAAGAGCAAGAGCAAGCACAATGATTGGATTACTTATGAGCGTATGGGCAAGAAAGGACAACAGCAGGGAAGGCCATCAAATCAGTGCACCAATCAGTGACAGCTGCCATATTACATTTTTGTCTCTTTTGCTTTTGGCTTGATATGTGTATATAACAAAGGGGAGGGGGGAGTGTGTTGGTAGGCTGTGAATTCGTAAATTCTAGGATAGGAGATTGGTGCCCTAAAGGTACTCCCTTGAGACTAGTGGCCTCAAGTCACCATTTTGTTTAAAGCTTCCATTTTTTGAATCAATGAAACAACAGCCTTCTTCCCTAAAAAAATCATATCTTTATTGCTTGAATACTTGAGCTTACATTTACAGCTAACAAGGGCGTTACAATCTAACAAGTTCCCACATTACTATATGTTGTCTAATATGTAAATCAATAAAGGTGATCGAATGAGAGAACGTGAATAGTGCAAATTGTTAAACGTTGTGAGTAAAAGAGAACAGAGGAAGTATGTTTTTTTCATGGTCATGGTCACATGGCATTTTTTAGCCATCAAAAAACTCCTGTTTAGCCAATACATGCTTGCTGTAAGAGAAATCCCAAAGTACCAGAACAAATCTAAGAGCAAAAAGGGAAAAAGCACATTTGTTTTTTGCATGGTTCCATAATATTGCTAAGTTTTGTTTAATTTTTTTTAAATTATTTTTTTCTACTCGGAGTTATCTTCAGATACCATATGTGAAGTTTGGAAGTTGAAAGCAACAAGAGTTATTGTGTCAGGATGCATTTGGCCGTTATGTGGTGATATTGTGGTAGGGGTCTAGTAAGATTATCCAAGATCGGGAGCCTTTGTTGGTTACTCTATGTGAGGAATGGTTTATTTAGCCTTTTTTTTGGGAGCACTCACATGGGGATCATAGCAGTGTGCCCTTTTCTGATGTATTGAGAGTTTGGAGCTCTTTTTGTCTTTGGCCCTGATTTTTGGTGGACTTTTGGTACTCTTTTGTTGTTGCTGTTGCTGTTGCTAAATAAAATTTGTATCCTTATCAAAGAAAAGGCTGACCTTAGTCTTCTCTGTGTTCATGCTGGTTTTTAAATATTTTCTTACTTCATCTTATATAAGAAAAGCAAGTATAAGGAAAGTGACTTCTTTATTTTCTCATTTACGTCTCCCTGAGTGGAACTCATCATCCTATTTAATTTTTTGTTTCTTCTCTTAATTAACATATCTTTTTTTACAGAACCTTTTTCATCTTTGCAGGTTATAGTTCCTAAAGAAGGTTATTTAAAAGCTGTCAGGGATCTATGCACAAAATATGGAATATTGATGATTGCTGATGAAATTCAATCTGGCCTTGGAAGATCTGGAAAAATGCTTGCTTGTGACTGGGAAGGTGTTCGTCCAGTCTTGTTGTAAGACTATTTTTGTGTGCATTAGCATCTTTAATGTTTGTTGCATTTTATTGGAATGTCTGGACAGGGGAGAATCAATCATAATGTCATCAATAAGGATCCATCTGTATTTTTCATTTTGTGTTTATGAAGCATACCAAACATGGCATTTTAGAGCCGCACCTTAGGCAGAAAAAATTAATTGAAGGAGGAATTATGTGCTTACAGAAATGATTTAAATGTAAATTTTATCATATGATTTTGTAAGCAGTTTCTTCTACTTCTGTTTGGTATATATTATTAGACCAAGTGGTTGTGAAGATCGAGAGGTATGAATATATTGTCTTAATATATTACTGAGTAAAACAAAAATTTTGATGGCCAATTAGCTCATGACACATTATTATTATTTTTAACCAGCCCAACACTCTAGCAACTTTGAGATTTTGTTTTGAAAAGGTTGCCCCATAGTTAAAATTAATTTGATCGAGTGAAGATTTAGGAAAATTTTGTGACGGCCTCTAATAGAGGGATGATTGATCTTGATATTTCCATTAATTTGGTACATAAATTATTCTTGGTTTTCCTTTTATACTCCATTGGATCCTTTTTGTTCTTCCTATTTAGAATCTTGACACTATTTATAAGTTGAGAACATCTTCTAAATTACTCTCAATATATAAAACATAACATAGTCATGTTGGGTCTTATTTGATTCATTTTATTGAGTAGTTTATTAATATTAAACTACTATTTTTTTTCTTTTTATGCAACTGTAGATAGATGTTTATGGTCCAAATAATGCATTGACAAACATGCACAGTCAAAATGACATGAACATTTAGGATTGGAAGGAGTATTCTTTCTTCTCTCTCCTATTATGATTCTACAAACTTTGATTTTATTGTCACTGTTAAATTAGTACAACTTACCATCATCAGAAGTATGCCTTTAAAATGTTGTTTATTATTTTCCTGTAGATCCTTGGAAAAGCTTTGGGAGGTGGAGTAATGCCTGTCAGCGCTGTTCTTGCTGACAAAGATGTGATGCTGTGTTTTCGACCTGGAGAACATGGGAGGTTTGTATTTCTATGATGCTTATGATACAATATGATTTCTGTTCCATTTGTCCATGGCTTAATTTGTATATACCCTAACCTTTTCTGTATTAACACTCATAATTACTGCCTTTTAGTTTTTTTTTTCCCTTTTTTTTTAAATTTGAAAAAACCTTTTGAAAAAATATTTGAAATGTTGAATTGCACTGGTATATATTGATATGGAATATATCGTTTGTTTGCAAGTAGAGCGCGATCTTTATAATTTGTTGATGTGTATTTATATGGCTTACTAGGATTTATCTAGCTTTTACTATGGATACAAGTGGACTGTTGGTACATCGTTCACTTTATACTGCAGTCAAAGCCCTCTGATCAATGCTATGCTTAATGACCTGAAAAATTAATCATTTCTCATTTAATTTTTTTTTTTTTTTTTTTTTTTTTTGTATATATCTGCTGATTATGTCATTTTCTTTATTTCTAATAAGCTTTATCACTATCATTCATTTTCAGTACTTTTGGTGGAAATCCATTGGCAAGTGCGATTGCTGTTGCATCACTAGATGTTCTCAGAGAGGAAGGGCTTGCTGAGAGGTACTTAAATGTATTGCTTGCATAATTTTGTCCTTGAAACTGTGAAAGTCTTAAGTTAAAATACTCATGCAGTTTGTCTGTCCTAGCATGTCAAGACAATAACTAGAGGGATACAAATCATGCATGGCCTTTTGAGTAGGTGTTTTGAATTTAAAAATTCTTAGACTTGGGTGTATGTGGCATTCTTGGGTCATGGTCATATAGTACAAACTACAGAGCCTTTTTGGTTTTTTTTTTTTTTTGTTTTTTTTTTACGAGAATTAAGGAGATTGTAGCTTCCTTAAAACTAATAATTGAGAGTGCATATGTGCATGTGGGGTTATTTGAGAGAGATAGACTACTACAACAACAACAAAGCCTTAGTCCCAAAAAGATTTAGGGTTGGCTAACATGAATCGTCATAAGGAATCGTACGATATAAAGAAAAGGACATAACAAAATCATCATTTAAAAGAGTTTGAAAAAAGGCAAGTAAAGTGAGTAAACGACAAAGCATATAAGAAAAATTAGGGGAGTTTTAAAAGAGAATCAAGAATAAAATTTAATAATTTTTTTTAAAGAGTGGTTTGAACCATAGTTATTAGAATCGAGATTCTACCTTGGATCGATGAGTGGGGTAGAATCGAATCGATAATACGATTCGATTCTACAAAGGTGAAAAATTGGGCTTCAAAATGTAATAAATGATTACATACATAATTTTCAAGCAATGAGAATGATAAAAATATATAGTGTTGATAACACAATATCGACAATACAAACATAAAATAGTTTTAGAAGTAATTTCGCACGCGGATAAGTCACACAGTACTCTATCAAGTCATAATATTGGTATATAATATTTATCACAAGAGTACGAGACAATTGTTGTTAAATTTATGAAAAAAAATAACGTTCTTGACTCCTAAAATTGTTTCCCTTAATAAATAATGCGTTGATAATAGAATACTAAGTGTCAAGTTAGTTCATTTCAAAGAGATAGCTAAAGATCGAATGACAACTACGACAAACTCATATTATAAAAGTGTATATATGCCCAAAGTTAGTGTATAAGACTCGTGAATATATTCTTTTGCCCAAAATATTTAAATGGTTGGATAGAATTTTAAAATTTCTTTATATTAATGTTTGATAAGCTTTAAGTATGATTTATATTGAATAATATATAAGTCATTGATTAAAGTTAGGCTCAACTATGATACCTTTACATTCATTAGGGTATAACATAAAATATATAAATGATATGGGTGCGGGACCAATTTTATTAGAAAGTAGACCTCAAGAGCTTCCCAACAATATATTATAAGCCCTATTTCGACTTTGCTATCAAAAGTTATGGGTTTCGAAAAATCAGACTTTATGCAAGAGTGGAATTGTTAAAATCGGTATAGAATTATGGAATTGGTCCGATTCCACATATTCTAACCGATTCTACTGATTCCATGAGCGATCCTATCGCCGAGCGATTCTACCAAATCGTTTGGGTGGATTGGGATCTACAATCCGAATCGTGATTTTAATAACACTGGTTAAAACGTTGAAGTAGAAAACATAATGATTTGAGAAAACTTTTACAAAGGAAAACATTACAGTTCATAAAACATTGGTGGGCTAAAAATAAAATAAAATACGAAATGGAAAAATTGTAAAAAATAATACAAACTTTAAGCAGCCCGCCAAAAACAAGTCAATCTTTTAATTATTTATGAATTATACAAACTTTGAGAGGTATCCGCTTTAAACAAGTTAAAACCGATTAGTTATCCGATGAAAATGTTATATGGAACAAGTGGCATTGTATAATTTTATTTAAACTGTTAAACAAGTTTATAAGATGAATAAAAAAATTAAACGTCAAAATAAGTTGTAGATAAAATAACTTATTTAAAGCGAATAACTCACCAAGTTTGTATTATTCAGAAATAATTAAAAGATTGACTTGTTTTTAGCGGACCACTCAAAAGTTGTATTATTTTTGACAATTTTTCCATACGAAAATAAATTTAGAAAGTATATATAATCACGACACGTCGCTGACATGAATTTTCTCCCTTCACACCACCCTATCCAACAACATATTTTCCTTAATCCTCAAAACACTCATGTCGTCACCCACTTCCAAGTTTTCTTAGGTCTTCCTCTACCTCTCGGCTCTCGCAATCCCAACACTTTGCAATTCTTCAAGCCTCCTTACTGGAGCGTCACTTGGTCTCCTTCTTACATGGCCAAACCATCTTGAGCGATTCTCCCTCATCTTGTATTCAATCGATGTAACCCATACTCTCTTCCTTATCATCTCATTCCACGATCTTTTCTTGTATGACCACACATCAATTGCAACGTACGCATCTGTGCCACATTCATCTTATGCACGTGGCAATGTTGTAAAAAACTCGTCGCACTCTTCCACTTCAACTAACCCGCTTTGATCATATGAGCTACATCTCCATCCAATTTTCTATCCTTTTGAATAATAGATCCCAGATATCGGAAGACCTCACAACTTTAAACACTCTTCCCATCCACGTGATTACCCGTGCCTTATTGATTCTCACACCGCTACACTTACATTTTAAATACTATGTACTTTTGCTCACCTTCGAGCCACGGGACTCCAAAGTACGTCTTCACAGTTCCAACTTACTTTCTACGCCTTCATTCGTCTCATCAATGAACACAATATCATCAGCAAACATTATGCACCATGGTATATCATCTTGAATTGAACTCTAGCAAAAAGAAAAGGACTAAGTAAGGAACCTTCATGAACTCTAATTGTAATTGGGAACTCTCCAGTTTTCCTCACAGTCCGCACACTTGTGCTAGCTCTCGTATGCATGTCCCTAATGATGTCAATATATTTCCGCAAAACGCCTTTCCTTGTTAAAGTCCACCAAAGAATCTCCCTTGGTACCTTATCATAAGCCTTCTCCAAATTAATAAAAAGCATATGTAAATCCTTCTTCTTATTCCGATCTCTATTAGTTGTCTCATAAGATGGATTGCCTCCACAATCGATCATCTAGGCATAAATCCAAATCCAAATTGGTTTTCCGAGATCTTGACTTTTCTCCTTAACCTTTGTTTAATCACTCGCTGCTAAAGTTTCATAATATAACTCATTGTTCGATCCCTCAATAGCTAGCACAGGACATCACCTTTATTCATATACAAAGGTATCAAAGTACTTCTCCTCCACTTAAAAAACATCTTATTACATCACCAAATCTTGTTCAAAAAAGTTGTCAACCGTTCAATTCCTCTTTCTCCCAAACATCTCCAAACCCCAGAAGGAATGGCATCAGGTCCAACTGCTTTCTTCAATACCATCTTTTTTAATGCCATTTTGACTTCTCCTTTTTGAATTCTTCGAATAAACTCCCGATTAACCATATCATGAGGGACACTGTATTACCAACATCTTGAGTTCGATCTCCATTAAATAAACTATCCAAGTAAGACCTTCATCCATCCTTTAACTCCTTGTCTCTAACATGAAACCTTTGGTCAATCTCCTTCACTTATTGGACTTTCCAATATTCCGCGTCTTTCGATCTCTAATATGAGTAAGCCTATAGATGCCTTTTTCTCCTTCCTTTGTATCCAAGCTTGCATAAAGGTTTCAGTTCACTTTCATTCTCGCATCACGTACAACTTTCTTTGCTTCGTTCTCCTCTAGCTTCTTTATATTTCTCATAATTTCATCACTTCTGCATCTACCCAACATCTTATAGCAATCTCGTTTATTCTTTATTGCATGTTGCACTTCTTCATTTCACCAAGTTAGTGGCATGTTTCCTTTAGATTCTCCTAGGATTTCTTTCGCCACTTCGTTTGTGTTATGCTCCATTTTACCCCACATCCAGTGCTATCTTTCTTACTATTTTTTGTTGGTTTTCCCCTTAAGTTTCCACCACTTGATCTTTGGCTCCACTTGTGGTCTCCGCGTCCTTACATATCTACGACCTCGAAAATCAAGCACAACAAGCTTATATTGAGTTAATGTACTCTCGGAGCCCATTTTTACCCTTCTAATATTGAATGACACATGTCATGCTTTAATTAGCTTGTGGACACGTGTCGCTGTGGCATTGGTCCACATATCGAGGGTATTTTTACCCTAAACAACTATAAATTACAAAAGTTATTCAAAGTAAATCGTTGTATATATACCTGTAAACTACTTTCGTAAAAATATAAACGTGTCAACTTATAAAAGTGTCGCTTTATACATATACTATATACATGTATAAAATATAAATAATGTAAAAACGGAAACGTGTTGACAAAAAAATGGAAGACGTATATAATAATCTAACCATATACAAGTAAAGTTCTATATATATAATGCATATATAATAAATGTTCTTGTAAAAATGCATATATAATAAAGAAGATAAGTCAAAGTTGTAACTATATTCTCTCCCATCATATTTTTAGCTTAAGCCAAGTTTTTTCTCTTAACTCCTCTGATGATGACATGATGAACAATTCAACTTCTTTCTCCAAATATTGTTTCTTTCATTGTTAGTCGTACTTTGAAGGCACAAATCTTTAAGACAATGGTTTACTCGTTTTTTAAAATACAAATGAATAACAATGAAATGGAAACGAGAAGTAGCAAATTAAACAGTAACTTTAATCATTAATAATAGAGAAAGAATAAAAAGCACAATGATGCTATAAACCTTAATGCATAACAATAAGAAAATTGTGAATATTACACGAGAAGAAAAATTCTAATAACTTGCTTATTAAGTTCAACATAAAAGTACCTAAATTACTCCCCCTAACAAAAAATGCTTAAAATACTTGACTTAATAGTCATCATATTAAAGGGATTTGTGATAATGATATTCCATACTTGGCCTTAATGATTTCGCATACTTTCTCTTTTTTTTTTCTAGTTTTTTCGTCCATATTAGACGTGTCCTTGCAAAGTATCCCAAAATCTTGTTGTCGAATGTGTTCTTTGCACAATGTAAGTCTTTTTTTTTTTA